CCTTCTCTCTGAAAATGGAAAAAGAAAAAGAGTGGTGGGGGAGAGAGCCTGTCAGGACTTGTGCCAGTTAAATCCGATCTCTCCGGGGATTTGTTTTTCTTCTGGCGTCAGATTAGATGTTCAAATCAAGTAGTGTTTGAGGGCTGCGAGGGAATGTCCACGGGATTCTTAGTGAGGCTAATCCCAAAGCAGCACATTCCAAGGGGCTAATCTGCCCAAGTTCATTGCTTACTTGAAACGTCTCTTGGGGGAAGAGCCGGGCAAGTGACTTTTTTTCCAGTGGGCGGTCATAAGAGCGTTATTAACGGGATGACCAGCCCCAGACGCAGCAAAATGAAAGCAACAGGAGCTGCTCGTGGGACTGCCTTTGCCACCACTCAGAGTCAGTGCTCAGGTAAAGTGATTTCAGCTCATTTTCCTCTTATCTGACTTCCCAGTATTGGATCTGGGGACCTAGGGGAAGACCAGAGGAATGCCAGGGAGACGCTGAGGGAAAGCAAAAGGCAAAAATGAACATAGACATACAGTATCTTGGGGTCTTTGGTGTTTTGTTCCGATTGGATCAGAGCGAACACTGAAAACCGGAGAGTCTCAAAACGAGGAACGTGTAAAATTTTGCTCGTAATTTGTTCCTATAAAATTAGTGGACTTTTTTTCTAATCTTGTGGTTATTGGTCTGGGTTTTATCCTTCTGTCAAGTTGCCCTGCTAAAGGGTGAATTGCAATAGCAGTTTCCAAGACTTTCTGGAGACAGATTTAATACACACTCTATGTAAGTATTTGTAAATCATTCCTGCCTGGAGAAGGTCTTAATTCTGAAGCTAGTGGGGAGCGGGTGGTAACAAGAGTCAAAGAAGTTTGAGGGACTAATGTTTCTAGCAGTGTTTATGAAAAAGAGTTGAAACCTGGTTAAATGAAACAACTTAATTGTTTTTTCTTTTGAAGGCAATATTTACAACTTTTTGAGTTCCTATTATTTTGAGGCTTGATTGACTGTACATTTGACTTTCGAAATTTATCCTTACTTTATTCCGTGAGGGTAATTGTTATACTTTGTTCGAAATGTGAATGTCTTCATTTTTGTTTTGAGTAAGATGTCCTTTAATTATTAGCCTTTGAAAAACACTTCCCTATTACACATCACACATGACTGCTAATGCAGAAAGACAGGAAAGAAAATAGCCCTTCACAAACCCAGTCATGGTGATGTGACCGTTCTACCTTTAGAAAAGTGATTTTCTAAGGGCTGATAGAAGCCATCTTTTCTAAGAGTACATGAGAGCTCTGAAGCATATTTAAAAAGAAGAGATCTTAGGGCACACGTTGAAGTTTTGCATTAGAAGAGAATTAAAGGGTCAGCTAGAAACATGGCGTGTCAAAACTGTTTCATGCTTTCTAACAACAAAGATAGCCATTTGGAGCTAACTTAGTTGGATGTTGCAGTCAAGTATGAAGCTTCACACAGGGTAGTTCAAAGCCTTTGAACAAAAGAAAAGGGAATTAGTTTGGGGAACAAGTTAAATCATGATTATACATCAAATATGCCCTCTCCAAGAAAATTATTTTAAAAATCTAGTATCTGTCCACACTGAAGACTGAATAAAAGCACAATAAGGCAAAGCCCCCAATAGGACATAGTAAATTGTGCATGATATTTTGTACAATTCCTAATTCATGAGCTATCCATGGATTCTTCCTATCTATTATACTTTTCTCTTCAAAAAAAGAGAAAGTCCAATTCAATTATGAATGATGGAAAGACTTGTCTTACATTACACTTCTTTTTTCCCCTTCCCATTTCTCTTTGTCTTTGCAAAGGAAGTGGTTAGCTTGCTAATCATAAGAAATAGAAACTGAGCCTCAATCTCTTTGCTGCCAATGAAGTAGCTTTTCACCTTTGAGAAGGTGATTAAGTTGCTAAACTTGCACACAAGTCAAATTACTTTACACTTCAAGACGAAGAAACAAGTTGGCAATTCATATTGTAGTCATTCTGCTACACACCATCTGAGTAAAACTTCCAAGGCTTTCCAAGTTGAACCCAAGATCCATGAGAGAAGTAATGAAGGTGCCCTTGAAAAGTCTAATCTATTTTTCATGACCTCCAGATTCTCCAGGTGGGAGTCCTGTGTGATTACATTTCTTCATTGTAACCATTATAATGATCTCCCCTTCTTTTACTTCTTTCTCATATTCTTTTTTTTTAATTGAAGCATAGTCAGTTTACAACGTTGTGTTAATTTCTGATGTATGGCATGTTTCAGTCATACATATACCTACATATATTCCTTTTCATCTCGCTAATGTTGCACCCCAATCCTTGAACGCAAGGAGAGAGGAAGAACAGACGGCAGAGTGTTCATTTTCTCCAGTGTGGGGATGGGAAGGAGGAAGAGTGGAAGTGAGAAGGAGGAAGGTGCGAGTATATACTGGTTCGCAGACTTGCCTCTCAGAGGCACTCCCAGGCATGCCCAGATGGCACTGCCCAGACCAAGGGTATGTAATACAAAGAACCTCTAATTTGGAGAGGCAGTTCAACAGAGTGGTACGAGTGTGTACTCTGGAGTCAAACGGTCAAGTTCAAACTCTGTCTTCTTATTTACTGTGTCTCTGACTCAATTTCTTCATTGATAAAGTGAGTATAATAATAGTACCTCCCTCGCAGGGTTCTTATGAGAATCCATGGAGATAACACGTATATGGTGCAATCCTAGGTGCATGATAAAGGTTAGGCATGGTTATTATTTACTGAGCTCCTACTAAGTGCTGGGTGCTTTCCCTGAATCATTTGCTTTGATTGATACAACTCTCCAAATCAGCTATGATTATCCTTATGTTATAGAAAAGGCTCAGGGATGTTAAATAACTTCTATGCACCTTCATAGTACTCTTGTCTAAACCTTCATTGGAACTTTTAATACCAGAACCAACCAAAGACTAGACCCTCTTCTTAAAGTGAAAAACATGGTACCCAAATAATGATAACCACTCTGTGTCAGGCATTATTGTTGTGCCCATTTTATAGATGAGGAAAACTGAGGATTGAAGAAATTAGATGACTTTGTCCAAGCTGCAGAGTCCCATTCATGCCACTTTTTCTAACGGCAGACCTCGTGCTTTACCCATAATACTGCCATTCCTGCGTTCTCTTTCTCTCAGGGAATATTGATCACCACTCCCTGAAATTCCCAGATGCTTTCTCAAAAGATCCTTCCGAATGAAAGCTAGCCAAAATGGGCCACACACACACAAAAAAGTATACTCTCTTTTTTCTGTTTCCCAGGGGGTAGAGAAAGTTGGTTTCAGATATCCACTGAGGAATATTTTTACCATCTATCTGCCAAGAGATGTTATCAAAAAAAGTATTAAGTTTCTAGGAAAAAATCAGAGCCTATGAATAGTTTTAACTTAACAGGCTTTTTACAAAGATAAAGACTGGTTATCTATGCTGCCAAGCTCATTTCTGCAGCAAAGATGTAGCCACTAGCTTTTCCTATGTATGTGAGAAGAAAAATCTCTGAGAATAGATACTGGGGCTTTTTCCATGCCCAAACGACAAACAGAACTGCAGATGTTACCTTTGTGGTGTGAGGGTGCAGAGGGCCACCTGGACCCAGGGATCTCTGAGGCAGGGTGGGTGCTCCCTTTCATGTGGACAGTGTATAAACACTTAGAAATTATGCGACCTGATTGTGACCATGACTAAAACAGGATGCGGTTCCTTTGTACCGCTCAAGCAACCCCCATGTTGCTAATTTTAAAATGCGCTTTGTCATCAGTTTGAGACAACTAGTGTCTTCATTGCCACATGTTTGCGTAGACTCCACTGCGAGAGAGGAGGGAGATGCAGGATTAAGGGACTGAAGGCAAATCGGACCGTAGCACAACTTACATAGATATTTGGGTCCCTGGCAGGGTCAACATCAGTTACAGCCAACAGACAGGAGCTTGTAACAGCTAACATCAGTCATTGAAACAGGCCAGGAAAACAGCTTGGTTGCACTTTGGTTCTGTGTATTTTAAGAGTAGACATTTGGTCCTGATGCTGGGATAGAGAGAAAATGATACCATATAGAAATAGCATTACAGGTTTCTTCCAGCAACTTCTGTCTTGCTTGAGGAAGCAATCTTCTGAGTAGGTACTGGATTTCATGAGAAACTACCCTACTGTTTCAAATGATGGTAAAAAAGGGGTTTAAGGAATAAAAGATGGACACTCTGCTTTGGAACAAAGATGGTGCAGTTTGTTGGAACTTCCTTTATCATTCTGGGAATCCAATCTCAGTGGCCAGACTTCTGGATGGACAGTCCAACAATGTTCATTCTGAAGCTATATTTGCTGTGAGTAAAGGCACGCGGGATGCCAAAAAATGTGGTATCTTACTTCTTTTCAAAGTGATTGGATTTGAAATTTTGGACTGTGGTGAAGACATTTATCTTCCTTATGTTTCCACTTCGTTTTTTTCCCTCTTTATTTAAGCACTGATAATTTGGATATTAGAAAAAGCATGGTATTTGGACTAAGGCTCTTGAGTTACATAATTTCCTCACCATTTTTCTTTCTTTCTATAAGCAAAGTCTAATGGAAGTGTCAGCCATGAAACCCGTATGCTTATTTAGATATATTTCTTCCTGCCATTGAATGCTTGCCATCTAAAGGGTTACAAACATACTATTCTGTGTCTTTTATTTTGTCTGTAAATAGCATTGTTTTTCTGTTCGTCAAAAATCATTATGAACTTGTATAAGGTTCCATTACTAACATTTTTTTATTATGGTCATTTCCTTTAACTCTCAATATTATGATGTTAAATAACCTAATCAGCAGTTTCTCAGAGTGATTGATTTTGTTTTATGCAGCATTTATGTATGAAGTAACCACAATTTCAGTTCATTTTATGAGGCACTAGTCTACTAAGTGATAATGAAATTTTGCTTTCTAGTCAAAAATACCTAAAGGTTATGTTCACCTTTCCTCTTCATCTTTTTTTTTTTTACAGGCTCAGAAGTCCTGGATAGAAAGAGCATTTTATAAAAGAGAATGTGTTCACATCATACCCAGCACCAAAGACCCCCATAGGTAATCTTGCTGTCTCTATAATGTAGCGAGAACTTGAAGTAGCAATTATGGGAACAAAGCTACGATAGTAATCACTATCCATTGCAGGAGAACCAGTGTTGAATTAAAGGTCGTTTTTCAATTGTGGCTGGACATCTTTGAAGCAATCTCATATATACACAACATGTAATAGGCCATGCCTACAGTTAATTCTCTAAGAGCCTGTAAAGAATAACAAATGCACCATTGGGGAAGGAATTCATCACTGTCTATAAGAATGGGTTTATATATATATATTTATGAAATATATGTATACATATTAGTATGGTTACCGGTTTTCCTTTTCAAGCATTTCATCAAAATGCTTGGTTTTTACCAACGTGCTCTGCTATAATGAAAAAGATCTTTAAATGAAATACTCCTAGCAGATTACTGATTACAGACTGCAGACTTTCATATTCCTATCCCATTTTTAGTGTTCTTCTTACCTTTCTGAAAATCAACATTACATATGATGGGAAACATTTGGGATAAGATAACATGAATGTCTGGAAATGCCTTTATGAAAAGACAGTATAATGAAGCAGTAACCTTGAACAAACTATCTAACCTCCAAAATGATAATATTTTACCCATAAAATGAATGTCACATTGTTCGTATTTAATAAATGATAACTAGTATTATTGCTAATAGTCATAATAGTAATAGTAAAGTATGAAGGACGTTTTCATGATATAAGGAACACATTTTATTTTCGAATATCTTGTGAATAATTTTTTCATTGTTTCTTCAAGAACACTTAAGCTGTAGGTTTTTATTCTCAGAATTGGATATTTGACAGTGAATGTCAATTGGGAAAAGACAGGTTACATTGTGACTCACATATGAGTGAGATTCTTATTTAAATGTGCATGTTAAAATTCTTCCCTCAAAGCTGTTCAGTGTCCTTTATGCAAGATTTGATCGATGGGAGGAGTGAGAAGTTGAAAAGTCTACAGGGCTTTTGTTTGTAGATTCCAACCCTGAACACTATGGCAGATGTGAAAGGGACGGATGGAGAAGGACAAGGAGGCATATTACAGCCTATACAGCTAAAGGAAAACAAGAAGGGGCCAGAAATGAAAAGATATGTAGGTCAAGTATATCCTGAGTCCTCTGTTTGCCTGATACAGCCTCATCGTGTGTTCTGCCTGAAACTGACTCACTGGCTTGCTACAGTTTGTAGAGTTCTCCAGCAGTTTACCTTGTGTGTCTTCCAATCGTGGCTAATGCAAGGGGTTCACTTAGACCTCTTATGTTATAGGTGTTGCTGTGGACGTCTAATAGGACAGCATGTCGGTCTCACTCCCAGTATCTCGGTTCTCCAGAATGAGAAAAATGAAAGTCGCCTCTCCCGAAACGACATCCAGTCTGAGAAGTGGTCCATCAGCAAGCACACTCAACTCAGCCCCACGGATGCTTTTGGGACCATTGAGTTCCAAGGAGGCGGCCATTCCAACAAAGCCATGGTAATCAGAAAACCATTCAGTCACTTCCCAGATTCTATCTCAAGTCCTGCAAAGGGGTGGTGAAGAGCTGGAGGTTTAGTCTTGGGGCCTAATCGCAATTTGGCCTGTTCCTGGTTGGAGGACCTGCTCCAATTACATTGCCCCTTTGCATCTCTCTTCTTCTTCTATCAAATGGAGAAAGAAAACCCTCCTCCCAGGATTTTTAAAGTAGTTAATATGAGATCATACACAGAAACTATTGCTTTTAATAATAATAACAAGTATCTTTCTGTAGTTATCGACTTTATTATTTTACTTTCTGGGTCTCATCCATTCAGACATGTTTTTCTAACTCCTTTGGTAAAAAATATCTTACTTTTAGGTCTCTGTTTCGTTCTGTTTGTAACTAGCATCTCTCTCAATTCAAGGTAGAAATGATCATCCCAGACTATTTCCTTCTGTGTTCTAACAGAGATCTTGCCATCCAAATTGAGTGCTTTTTCTTCAACCAGCTGTGTTCAGTAATATTCTCAGTAGAAGAACTCCATGTGAAAAGCATTTTTTTGGAAAGGAGGCATTAGGAAATATAGAGATTTTCCTTCTAAGAGTCATCATCTCTAAATTTCAGATTTCATCAGGGACCTCTCCCTACTTGGCTGACAGATTTTGCCAGGAGGAAAGTCTACCATATGTTTTTGGAAATTCTAGAAATTCCGTATTCCAACAAGCTTGCTTCTAACTGTCGAGAGAGGGAGAATTATTTGAGGGTGGAACAGTTGGAGGTGGATGTTTTCAGGCATGCCACAGAGTTTTCTGAGTTTGGAGAGGAAATTTTGCTTAGAGAAGCATACTGCAAAATGCAAGGGAAGTCACTTCACACCAGTTACAGTCTAAAAATGTGCGATAAAACCACCTCTCTTGTCTCTTTCCTTTCGCCTCCCTTTTCCTCCACCCCTTGCTTCCCACTGCAGTATTTTCTTCACCAAAAATGGCTGATTGAGCCATTCTCACAGTTCTTCTCTAAGAAAATTAATTCTGAGCAATATATTGGAAAGAGGAGGATGCTATATGCAACCCCCAGCAAGGCCTGGGAAAACAAAGAAAGGGTTAGTTAGTCTTGGACAGAACCAAGGGAAGTGGAGATTTGGTAACTTTCTCATCCACTTAAGGGATGTACGTGCCCACACAGGATCATCAAGGATCCCCAACTCAGCACAGTCCCATTCACAGTATGGGGTTGAGCCATATACAGTGTGGATCCTGGGGAATCATGCGTTAAAAGTAATTGCAAGTTCTCCTTATAAGAAAAGTACTACAGGTGAAGAAATGGTTCAGTGGGCAGTCATCATTGTAGAGAAGTATCCCCAGTGACTTCAGAGGGTGCTTGAATGGTGCCACAAGCCCAGAGGCATGTGGTAAGCTTCCAGCCATAATTTCCTTCGTTAACATGCAGCGTCTGTCAAATATAGAGCATAAATTTGCTCAGAAGTAAGAGCATTCCGCCAAAGTCATCACCTGCAGAGATTCTAATGGTCATGATGCCACCAGTGCATAGAACCTGTTTTGGGACTGATTTCAGACTGTTTATAGATCATAAGAAAAAAACACTCTGCATTTTCTTCAAATGATGTTTTTAATAAAAAAAAATTGATCTCAAGTACCTGAAATTGAAAAAATTTAGGGCTTAGTCACAAATGGCTCCTGCTAGTTTTTAAAAATCAGATCTCTTCTCAGAAGATAAGGTTTTCCACCATGAAAAATTCTAAAAGAATGGAGTACCAGTTTGATGGTAGAGAATGTAAGTTCTGGATTCAGACAGTCCAGATTTATCCCAGAACCATCATATATTTGCTGTGTGACACAGGAAACATTAATTAAATTCTCTGGGCCTCAGTAATTTATTCTGTTATCTAGGAATAACAATACTACCATTATAATTATTAAATGAGATGACATATGTAAGTCATCTGGCACAGTATCAGGACACATACTAGATGTAAAATTAATTTTAACTGCAATTTTTACTACTAACATCATTATTATCTGCTTCAGACTCTGAAATTTTTTAACATTTTGATTAATAATTTGAAGAACATATAGTTGGGTGCATATCTTGGTATATTATTTTGAAAGTCAAATCATACTTTTTCAGTTAACCCTTTAAGATAATTCCAGAGGTTCTGATTCCTTCACCTCGTTGTTAAGCTCAGAATCTGAAGCTATGTTGTTTTGTTTATAGTCTGGCCTGTCACTTACTGGTTTATAATCTGGCCCAATTTATTTAACTTCCCAGTTCCTTAGTTTCCTCACCTGCAAAATGGGGATAGTAGTTCCTACTTTATAGGGCTGTAGCGAGGATTAAATGAGTCAATATATATATTAAGTGCTTAGAACAGTATCTAAGCTAAATTAGTATTATGTGATGACTTTTCTTAAGGATACACTTAACGATAAAGCAAAATACGCAATATTTAAGTCATACAGAATTATATCTAAACGCTCACACTCTGCCTAGTTAGAAAGTCTTGGTTAAACCAATTAATGTAGCTGCCCCTGCTCCAAGTAAGAAGATACTATGACACTAAAACTCTGGTTTAGGCATTGTCTTACTAGACTGGGCTCCAGGCAACTTTTAAAAACTGTCTTAGAGAGCAGTGGCATGATGACCCCACAGCAGACATTGGGTCCTTACTCAAAGACCCTTTATCTGGGGCTGAGGTGGTTAAGTTACTTAAAAAAGGGAGTAATGCTGGACTTAATTAGACAGAATCTTATTTGCTTACTCATCATCTCTTCCAATTAATGCACCCAGGTCTCTGCCAGGGATGGAAGGTGATGATGGAACATTGCCCTGTGGGCTGCTGCAGACAGGTCTGGGGAGGGGAGGTAGGCTAGCCAGGACATTAGAGGAGGAGCAGGCGGCTGAGATCCTGTCCCGGGGAGGCAGCAGGAGGCAGGATGTGGGACCATGAACCACATGTGGAGTCAAGGCTCCAAGCCCTCTGCACATGCTCCGTTGCCCCATCAGACTTCATTTACAAAATACAAATTCAAGGGAAAATTTGTCAATAATTTCGGGACAGCAACTGCAGAGCCGTAAACCTTAAGCACTGCCCTTCTAAGCAGTGTGACTGGGCTGGTCACACGCCCATGAAACCAGTCTCTCCTACCCGAGACTGTCTCATGGCAGTCACTTCAAGGGGAAACTGTCCTTTCTGAGTCTAACCTGCCAAACAAGGACCAGTTTTCCTTTTTATTACAATATTACCAATATTTAACAAGTGGAAGTCCCCACTATTCATCCAGACACAAAGAACATTCTGTCCACTTTGGATGCTTGCCTTTGAATTATTCTGATTCTCCTGTCTAGACAAAGGGATGGGTTTATCCATAGGTCAGGTATCTTGTTTTATCAGGTGGGACAGTCCTTTTGTGCCAGCCTGCGCCTTCTTCACCTCTTATTGTTTCCAGCATGCAGATTGTCAAAGGGAGAAATCAGCAACTGCTGTCAGTTAAAGAGTGCCAGTCTTTAGACGGGGAAGGCATGGTTAAATATTCACCAAGACTGAAGTGAAACCGGTCCACTGACTTAATACATCTTTGGTCCCCTGCTCCTGACAAGAATATTTGAAAGTTAAAATGATTTTTAACAAAGTGGTGAAAAATTCTAGAGGGCAGATTAACTTTGACCTTCATTAATTTTTTTCTCTAAATAAGGTCTAACATTAACTTTTCCCCTCAAGATCGCCCCAAATGAAGCACTTGGGTCTTCAAAATGCCAGTGTGGTCTGGACAAAATGTGAGGCAGAATCTGACAAAGTCTGGTAGAAGATAAAGTTGGAGAAAAGAGGCTCATTATTAAAATGCTGTGGGCTGGGTGAGAACCGAATTTCGGATATGTATCTGTGTTACCACATAGACGTCACAGGACTTTGGTCACCAAAGACACTTGAGGGAATCAGTTCAGTGATTCTCTGCTTGGAGGCTCAGAATAACCTGTGGGGCGACTACAAGTGCCCATGCCCAGGATTCAGTCCCAGAGAGTCTCCTTCATTGGTCTAGGATAGAACCCAGCCTTCCAAAGTGTTTTAAAAGTTAGCCTGGTTATTCTACTGTTCAGCCAGGTTTAAAAAATACTAAATAATACCAATTCCTTCACCTATTTTATAGATGAGGCACCTCGAGCCCAGGAAGTTAAATTATTTTCTGAGAGTCACCCAATAATTTGACAAGATAGTTCTCGAACTCAGCATCCTTAGGACTCTCCATCAGTTCCATTTCTTTTCTGTCATGTATGCCAGGTACAGACTGTAGTAGATGTTTTGAAAGGAAGCTAATTACTCTTATGCTTGTAGTTCTGTGTAAGAGTTTTGAAAACTTCGTAGTGGAATTATAAAATCACTAATACTTGATGAGGTTAATTAAATTCAAAAGTAGTGAGCAGGAAGGGGTTCCTTGCAAAATTATATCCCAGGTTAGTGGAACCTTTTTCTGAGCCCTTTGTGGTACTTTGTGGTATTCTGTCCTCAATTTGACAGACCTCAGTGAAATAGCAGTGAAACCAGCATCTCTCATACTTTACTGAGAAATTGTGACACAGGAAGAAGATAGTCAAAGCTGACAGTGAGGGAAGGATTCTCCTTCCTTCCTCTTCTCTCCACCAAGCCACATCCTACCAAATGGCATGCCCCACAAAATCCATTCTTGGGCTTTTAAACGACCTGGTACTTCATTCAGATGCGTCTTAAAAATCAGAATGTGAGGTCCAAGTAAGAAGATACTAAGACACTAAAACTCTGGTTTAGGCATTATCTTACTAGACTGCGCTCCAGGCAACTTTTAAAAACTGTCTTAGAGAGCAATGGCAAGATGACCCCACAGCAGACATTGGGTCCTTTCTCAAAGACCCTTCTTCATCTGGGGCTGAGGTTGTTAAGTTACTTAAAAAAGGGAGTAATGCTGGACTTAATTAGACAGAATCTTATTTGCTTACTCATCATCTCTTCCAATTAATGCTGAGC